GGCCATGTCAAGGAGCATGGTTAGTGGCCATGTCCTTGTCTGCCCTGGGTCACAGGGAGCAGTGTGCCATGATGTGCTTCTCCAAGTCCAAGCATCCAAATGGGATTGCTTAGGTAAAAAGGCTACATTTCTCATGCTAGAAACCACTTCCTTTTTCTTGGTTCAAGAAGCTCCTTATTCATTCTCCAACTTACGCATGAACATGAATCCTGTATTATATTTTGTATTTCCATAATATCATGCCTTCTATATAATCATATATCAAAATATTTGGTGAGTGGCCAATACTTAAGGAGTGCTTGTATTTTACAACTTCTAGTCACATTGCATAGAAAATAACATTTAATTGTTTATGATTGAACTAAGTTTGTGTGCCTTACTTAAATACATAAATGGTGAATAAATAAAACCAAGAAGTGGCGGACAGAAAGGAGCAGAGAGACGTTGTGGTCAGTTGGTGTTGGTCCGTTTGGATTCATGGCAGTCAGGGATGCAGAGTAGAGCTGCTTCCTTGAGTTTTCAGAAGCGGATTTCCACGCCTGTATTTCAAGGTCAAGAGGAGAAATAGTGAGAGTAACTCAGCTAAGAGGAAGGAGAACCTTACTGGATGGATGGATGGAATGTATTTCAGCACCTTGGATATCCTGAAACATGAAGGATACACTGATGCATCTGGCAGAACATAGTTATTGGCCTTGTTTTGTTCATAAAAAAGAATGAAGCCAATAATGGAAAGTCACAAAAAATGACAGACTCTGTAAATAATCTCAGCAGCCACAAAGCAGAGACAGTGTTTAAATAAGTAAATGGAAGACAGCTGGTCATGATTTGGTGGTAATACGGCTCACATCAGTGAGCATGCCAGATCTTTTCAGCTGAAGTCATGCATACAGAGGACAATTATCCTTAGCATTTAAGAGGGAAAAATCACTACTTTTTTCTTTTGTTTTTGAGTTTCAAGAAACCTTTAATATCATCCAATCTGTCGAAATAAAGAAAAGGGAAAGAAAAATAGATAACATTTAGAAACTTCTAACATGTTTATGCCCAGTTTTAATCATGCTATCCCTTTATTTCAGTGTCCTACTCTGTAGCAGCCTGTGAATTCAGATTTAATTGCATTACTATTTTTGCCTGCATTTCAATCATTTTAAGCTTTCATCCTCATGAAGATGAAGTTCTGTCCCTTATAACTTTCCTATCATCAAGTATGTCTTAGAAAACCACAAAAGACAGCTTAACTACATGTACAAGTTAGTCCTATCCTTCCTCTCTGAACAAAGTCTATTGATCAGTCCTGACCACAAGCCAACTACCTTAACAGTGTGGTCTCTGATGCTAGTTGCTAGTGTCACTTGTTATCATTATTAAAGATTTGGTACTGAAGACACAGTGTAACTTCTTCCTCAAAATTATTAATTCTGAAAATAAACTGCAACCTCTAAAGTTTCAGTGTCTCAAATTTTAATATATATATATATATCCAAATTTAATATGCATATGTGTCATTCCAATGATAGTTCAGCTAATCCTGGTTGATGTGGATGCTATGGTCCCAGTTCCTGGGCCCTGCTCCAGGAAATGGGACTGCATCAGAACATTGTGTCTCAAAATGCAGTCTTTGCACCACTTGACATGCAATCACCATATCAGCATAAATATTTCTTACTGTGTACTTCTGGGTCTCTGATCCTCTTTGTATTATGCCAGTTTGACTAGAGAAACAAATCCAGTGACACTCATATATATGTAAGAGAGAGATTTAAATCAAGAAAGAATTAAATATCAAGCAAACATCTCAGCCCAGTCCAGATCAAATCTATATGTCTGATACCAGTCCTTAAGTCCCTCTTCAGATTCACAGAGACACACGCGGTGATGCTGAATGCAGGAAGATCTCAGGCTGGTGGGTGCAAAGTCCTGTGGATCCAATGAACGCGGCTGCATCACAGGGCTCTAGCAGATCCCAGAGTGCCTCCTCGGTAGGATGGCGAAGGCAGAGAAAGAGGGGGACGTTTCCAAGGTTCTTCTTATGGGAAAGCTATGGCCACAGAAGTCACCATCAGACTGTGAGCTGGTTGACAGGCTAAGCTCCACCCCTACACTTTTATACATAGTTGACATGAAATTATGTAGCTATCGTACATTAAATCAAAATTGGGGGCACAGAGGCCCTCGAAATGTATGCGTTCTATAAGCATCTTCTCATGTAACCAATAGCCTGGTATACTGGCACCATAGTTTTGACATTCAAGAAAGTTGTTTGCTTTGTTTTGTTTTTCAAGAAAGAATGTGTTCCTTCTTTATAAAACTGGGAGCATGAGAGAGACCTCAGGGTCAGATAATTTGGACTTTAACACTTTCAAAATTTAAGTTATTTATCAAATATTGTAGCTTATTTTTCTCCCTGGAGAGAAATATACCATCTGGATGACTAGGTGGGGATGTGTTTCCAAATTCATGACAAACTCGTTATGCGTAATCCTTGATTCTGCTTGCTTGATCTATTTGTTTGTTTTTCCTTTTGTTTTTGTTGCAGAATCTTCCAAGTGTCGCATTGTTCCCAGCTGAATTGTGACCTTCTTCTCACCCTCTTACCCCGCCTACTATACCTGAGTTTCCAATAATGCACATGATCCATGATTTTGCCTCCGAAAGGTCCCTGAGTTCTATTTAACCTGGTCAATAGTAATATTTGCCTAATTATCTGGATGTCACCTGACTCCACATCCTGAACAGATCTGAGGCACTCTCAAGTCAGGCTCAGCTCTTTTAAGTCTTATGGGCCCAGCAGAGGCCTATGATAACTGCGCTGCCGGGCAGATGATGCCAGGGGCCAGATTGAGCCAACATATGTCTCATATATAGTGGCCAGAATCACCTCGTATATCTTGCCACTCCACTAACCAGGAATCACATGCCAGGGTATTACTTGTGCCTGAAGATAACTGGTGGTTCTTGACCCTGTCTTATAAATAGAACTTTAACCACTTGCAGGGATTTCCCACAGCAGTAAGAAGCCTAGAGTCTCTGAACATCTCAGCTTACAGAGATCCTAATCATGCTGAAGCCTGAACGGCATTCTTGTTTTACAAATGAGAAACATCTCAATCAGAGATGACCATAGAAACCTTCAATAATGATGGGCTAGGGTCTATGGCAAGGAGCCCTCTTGGAAAGTGGTTTATGTGCTGGATGGCCAACTGTAAGGTCAGTAGTTGGAAACCAACAGCCACTTAGCAGAAGAATGAGGAAGCTTTGAATTCCCATAAAGAATTACAGAAACATGCCTGATTCAATTGATGTATGGATTGTGATAAGAGTTGTACGAGCCCCAATAAAATGATTTAAAAAAAAAGAATTACAGTCTTGGAACCCCTGGGGCAGCTCTCCCCTGTGCTGGGAGGCTGCTGGGAGGTGGGATCAATTTGAGGCTAGTGAATGAGGACCGATGTCTAGGTTTCTTAAAATTGAGGACTTTTCAAAAGATTTGTGAAATTACCAGTGGAGAAGGAAGGAATTTCATTTAAACTCAATTACCTCATACACTAGATTCCTTTGTCTCAGATCCACAAACTTTTATGCCTTTCTGTTGTCTACTGGTATCAGAATCACCGTAATCCGCAAAGCTCCTTATGATACTATCGGCCAGCAACCATTTCTTACCCCCTTTACCCTTTTAATTTTACCTGGCATCTCTGGGCTTGATTCTATTTATATTTGGATTATTTCAAATAAAAGACATACTGATATTAATTTAAGATACGACTTGTTTATGAAGTGTCTTCTGTTAGTTGCTTTAATAGATACTGCAAATATAGCAGTTAACAAGACTGATCAGTCTTTTTTCTCTCATGGACTGAAAAGTCTGGTGAATTTAATTTTCAACGATCCAGCAACACTGTGCAGAGCCAGGCTAAGTAGAATAGGAAAAGGCAACTGCTAACTCCTGTCACCTGGACAAATATCTTCCCAATGGTATGGGACAGATGGCTTTAGAGTGAGAAAAAAAGCAAGAAAAAGAAAACCGGTAGTGGCACAGGCCAGCAGCCACGATCTGGGGCTTTCATAGGAAGTTATGGGGGAAACGATCAGGCATGTTGGGCACCAGAGAGACAAGACGGGGCATTGGCTCTTTACTAGTAAGCATGCGGTTGTATTTGGGAAAGATGATGGCATGAAGTGCGGGTGTAATCTTTTCACTGGGTTTAGGAACATTGCTTCTATACAGCAGACTGTATAGAGATGGAGAAATGCTGGACTTGTGTTCTGAACGATGGTGAAATTAAGTTGATCATAAAGTCATTAATCAAAACTTTTGTGAGTGGAGTTTAATGTTACACCTCAGTTATTAAGTAAAGTAAAGAAAAGATCAGACAAAAGAACGGAGGCTCAATTGAGAATAGGAATACTAATAAGGACATTATCTGTCTGTTATCAAAAATTTTGGAAATTGAAGTCCATGTTAAGTAGGTTTTCCAAATTATGAATTAGGTTAGATGCCTGAGTTGTTTTCATTGACTAGCACTGATGGAATCATGATGACTAAAAGCAGTTTTATATCCTCATTTATTAAATAAATCCCATTTAAGCATAAGGTATCATTATTATTATTGCACCAAGTAGAATGGTATATTTCTATATTTGGAGACTGTATTTATATAAGAAACAGATTGGTAAGTGTATTGTTTGTTCTTTGCAATCTAAATAGAACTCAGCATTAAAATCTTCTGCTTAATGCAAAGTGGAAAAACAAGGTTTTTGAACTTCTTTAGTCCAGTGCTAAACATGATTATATATATATTTTTATGTGGTCTATGTATTGTTGATTGAATTTTGGTAATTTGTGTAATTTTAGAAGAGGCAAAATTAAAATCCTAAAAGGATTAGCAGAGTTGCGAAGAACCTTTTGAAGGATGCAGCGATGAGCGTCTCTGATCTGCTTTATGACCCCTCTCACTGCTACAAGTGCTGCCAGGAGGAGCCCTCCTCTCGAAGCCATGGCTAACAAGCACTCTCATACCCTCGTCCTGGGGTGTTCCATGTCTGATGTTCGATCAGTAAGGGAACCTAGCCTCAACTGTCTCACCCCAACAAGTGACGCACCTGAGTTGCCATCCTGGCTTCAGAACACTCGATAGCAATGCTTCCTAAAGTGGGCTCTAGATACTGCCTCCTGTGAGGTATTGGGGAGATTCTAGGGGTGGGGCTGAAAAAGCAGATACATACACTGTATCCTGAATTATAGGCTATCACACAAAAAGGTGCCCATTGCTGGAGGAGTGCTGAGTAATATTTTTCCTCTGAAAAAGGTTTGGTAAAAGCCAAGGAAATTCGGGAAACTACTATGCTCTGGGATCTTCCTAGAGAATATATTAGAAATCTGGTTTTTTTTCTTTTCTTAATCATCGTACTATTTCCCCTTCAATGAGTGTTGAACCATATTTCTAATGATTCTGCTGCACAAACATCTCAACTAGATTTTCACTTTTAAAAAGTCTTTCATACTGCTTATGTTTTAATTTCTATATTTAAAAAAATCACTTTCATAACCTTGTCAAGTAGTTAAAATCAACTGTAAGTTTTTCTGGGTTTGATTCCTTACTGTCACAAATTTTAAGCCATGACACCCTAATATTTCATTGTTTCTAAGATCTTTGCTTGTTTATTTGTTTCCAGAAATATCACAAAACATTCTGATAGAAGGATTCGGATGCAGCCCTGTATTCATCATGTAGCGTCGCCGTCACTAGAGCCTGAACCATGGAGTGAGAACATGCTGGATGGCAGTGGGAAACTAGAGGCAGGTTTAATTGTCAAGGACTGCTTAGAGTACGTGGGCTCTGGAGACAAAAGTTAGCTTGGGAGAAAATAAGTTCTCCCAACAAGGCTACAACATTCTGATCGCGTGTGTTGCCCATTTGAAGATCAGACTTTCTTTTGTCAGGACTGGTTCTATGTTTATTTATCCTGATCCTGGAGCATCCAAAAGCTGTCTTGAAATTTTGGTGCCATGCTTTATAGGGTAGGTTTAAGAAATGTTGGTGCCATGCTTTATAGGGTAGGTTTAAGAAATGTTGGTGCCATGCTAGACAGCGGGCAGGTTTAAGAATCTATGCTCGCGGTAGCAGAGGCAGCTCTATGGGTGGCTTTTCCTGAGATACACTGGCCTGACAGGACCGCTGTGCTTTCCCCTAGATCACAGTACTCACCCTTTAGGAAACTAACTAGAGTAAAACTTGTCCTCACCACTGTTCAAACCCTTCCTACTCCAACCCAGGGATGTGAGGTGGAGGGGACGTTCAGTGAGAAGAAAGTGAGAGAGGCACTTCCACTGGAAGCATCTGATAGTTCGCTTCCTTACTAAGACCAGGCACTGTCTCCTTCATAGATTAGACAGCTAAGGTCAATCTTGGAAGGCAGAGAGCAAACTGCTTGAATTCAGGGGTTTGGAGTTTCTGATAGGCAGAGTTTATAGGAAGTAAGACTTTTGGGGCCAAGTCTTTTTTATTCAATTTAGTACCCCACTTGATAAAAGAGTTAACAGATGCACATTCAAAGTTAATTAACAATGCAATGTTGTATAAGGTAGTATAAAACAAGCAACATAGACAGAAAATGGTAACGGAGTTCAGGAAGTTTAATAACTATTTGTTGATTTCAACTGCGTGTAGACAATTGCCCGTAGGGCTTACATCTAGCAATTACTTTTCTATTAACCTTGTCTGTGGGGTAGCCAAGTACCTAATACTGTTCCCCTGCTACCTCATCATTTTGGATTAATGTTATTATTTCTTATTTCAACATAAAGTAATGGTGATTTTTGGAGACCAGTTTATTAAATGCTTTTTTTTTCCTTTAATGATTAGAACTACAGCTTTCACCGTTAGTCTTATAATTTTGGTCTACTGTAATTATGACAAAGAGCCAACACAACAAAACAACAGTATCTTGTTCAGTTGTGCAGAAGTTTACTGCCTCCGCACCCACTTGAAAGCACTGAACAACAGCAGCAAACAAGGTACAGTGTACTGAATTGTCTTTGTTTTAGCTACATTCATCAGTACATTGCTAGCCACAAATATGCATACTCTACGAAACAGTCTTCACAGCTTGTGTACAGAGAACTTTGTGCGTTGCAGAGAATGATTTTCCCTTGTGGTCCCTCATTCAGAGATGACTGGATTTTTCCACAATTTGAACTTCCTCATATCAGACAAAATGCCAAATGACACCCAACTTCATATATCTTTCATTCAAGGACTAGTTATTAATGTCATATGATCTCTCCCTCTTTATATCTCTAGGCTCTTGCTGTGAGATGGGCCACATCTCCGTCTTCCCTGTATGTCTCAGACTTGAGTAATGGTGCAAAGTCATCCTGGTGTCCTGAGCAGGAAATGAGAGTTGATATTTCTGGGAACAATGACTTTAACTGGTATTCTGTCAATTCCTGGAGACCTGATTTTTTCTAATGCCTTCAGTGAATCTTAGATATATTTCTTAAAACACCATTGGCTTTTGATCATATACTACCTCTTGAAATATTTTTGGTGTGCTTCAGACAAATCTTTTAGGACCATAAAGGAAGTCTCATTTTTATAAAGATAAAAGGCAATACAGTGATAAGTGAAGGAAAAAGATACCTCAGTGACCAAGTGGAAGAAGGGGGTAAAGAAGATGACTGGCTGGCTTTTCATCAGTAGGGTAACAGAAGATATTCTTCTGACTAAAATCTATAAAAGACCCTTGTCAAAATATGGTACTGGAACCTGATCCAACTTCTAGGACTAACCAGCATTATATAAAAGCCACCGATGTCAGAGGAATATGTTAAAAGATGTCATGGAGCTGTGCACAACAAAATAGAGTCTATGGTAATGTTCACATGATGCATGAACTTGGATTCGTCAGCAAATCAATAGCAAGGTTAAAAATGTAAAAGGGGTACCTAGATGAACACAATCTTGAGATACATAGTAATTAATGCAATGCACAAAATGGTTTAGCCTTTATTCCAAATTACCCAAGCATAACACATTTATGAAAATGAGATAATGTTTTCATGCACCGGCTATCTGATAAAATATTTTGAAAGATTCAATGTTAACTTTTAAATCGAAGAAAATATAAATTCTTGCCTCAGGGGGACTATGTGCTGAGGCAGGTATACTAAAAATATTATGAGAATCTCTGATTTGACCTAATGGAAGTTGAATACAGGGCAAATATAGATCCCTATGGGAAGTGAACAAGAAATAAATATACTTGTGCTTGTCAAAATATCATTGATTCACTAGGGACTTTCAACCAAATGTTACTCGATAAGCAGACTAACTCAAAGTAACAGAAGGCATTTTAAATATTAACTAAAGAAGTCATTGAATCTGCCATTGTGTGAAATCAGAAAAAAATTATGTACGCTATAACCAAATTCTAAAAAGTAAACAAAAAGGACAATAAGCAATACATCCAATACAACAGCAAACAAAATTAGTATCAATGATACATACCATAAAGTTAAAAATCATTAAGGATTCATTGTGATGCAGTCATAGTAAAAGAGAAGTAAAAATAATTTTTAAAAAAGGAAGAACAATGACACTTGTAGATAAAACAGATAATTTAACTGATGATGTGATGATTAAGTTTGAGTGTCAACTTGGCTGTTCCTTAATTGTCAGTCATTTGTAGTCCTCCTCTTGATGGGAGCTTATATAATGCAATCATAACCATGAGATCTGCTATGAGCAGCCAATCAATTGGAAGGGCGTTTCCTCTGGGGTGTGGGCTGCTTCCAATACATGTAGCTCCTCTGGTAATGTTCCTTGCTTTTTGCTGGGTCTGAACTCTATCTGGCTCATCATTCGATCTCCAGTTCTTTGGACTTGAACCAGCAGCCTAATCTATTGCCTGTTATCTTCGGAGTCATCAGAAGAATGTCATCTCACCACTGACCTTGGACTGATCTTTCTCTGCAGCCAGACACCTGCAGTCTGAAGGCTCTAGCTTCGAGAGTCAGGAAAAGCCTATCATCTGAGCTATGAACTTTGAACTACCATCTAGTGAGTCTTTCCCTTAAAAGAAATCTCTCTATATCCTTACATATATAAGCTTGAGTGGTTTTGCTTCTCTAGAAAACCCATCCTGAGACAGACGGACTCTAAATCATATGAAGGGAAAGCATGTCGTTTGGGTTACGGTTTGTGTTAGTCCGGGTTGACTAGAGAAACAAATCCAGAGCACTCATTAGTAAGAGAGAGCTTTATATCAAAGAGTAATTGTATAGTAAGAAAACATCCCAGCTCAGTGTGGATCAAGTCCATAAGTCTATTAGCCCATATAGCTGATACTAGTCTATAAATTCTTCTTCAGACCCATGCAACATATGCAATGATGCTGAATGCAGGAAGATCACAGGCCAGTGGGTGAAAAGTCTTTTGGATTCAGTGGCGGTGGAAGCATCTCCAGGCTCTGGCTGCCATCAGCATGGCTTCATGTGACTTCTCCACAGGAAGACGAAGAAGAGAGAGTGTCCCTCCTCCAGGAAGGAAGAAGGAATTCCCAGATTCCGCATGAGAAGGCCACGCCCTGAAGGAGGGATCATCAAGTTGTGATCGGATTAACAGGCTAGACTTCACCCCTTCGTTCTTTTATCACGTCGGCATAAAATTGTGTAACTACCACATCATTATATTCTCAGAAGCAAGCACAGTGAAATTCACATAATTTTAGCTTAATATTTATTGACTAAATGACACGTTAATTTTTAAATGGAAAATAGCCAACTAAAATTTAACTAAAATGATCAATAAAAAGCTATTTCCTTTCCTATCATGAAAACACACTAAAAACTAGTTTCCCAGAGGCAAAAGAGTGGAGCGTGCTCAGAATTAGAAACACGGTAGACGATGTGGACCAGCAACAAACTACCTACACAGTCGAGGAGCCTGTGGATCTCATCAGGCTCAGCCTCCGTGAACGCATTGATGTGAAAATGCGAAATGACAGAGAGCTTCGAGGAAGATTGCATGCTGACAATCAGCATTTAAATATGATATTGGGAGATGTGGAAGAGACTGTGACTACTATAGAAATTGGTGAAGAGACCTATGAAGAGATACATAAATCAAAGAAACGGAATATTTCAATGCTCTTTGTGCGGGGTGACAGTTTTGTGCTAGTTGCCCCTCTGCTGAGAATTGGCTGAAACCAGGAATCTACTCAGAAGGGAAGAAAGGAGCCTCCTGAATGGAGCCTACCTTCCGAAGAGAAACCTACTTGGAAGTAAACAAGGATTCATCGTTTCCTGAAATAAATTGGTTTGCAGCTATAAACTAAATGACATTTTAATTTTTAGCCCACCCTTCCAATAAATGTAATCACAAAAATGCAGAGATCTTTTAGCAAATGATTTTGGGATTTTTTTTCCTTTAAAATAAATGTTTCAGTGAATGAGGGGGGGAGTGCAGAGTGGAGATCCAAAGCACATTAGTAGGCCACTGGAGATCCCCTTGCAGAGGGGTCTCAGGGAGGAGATGAGCCAGTCAGGGTGTGATGTAACAATGATGAGAAATACAACCTTCCTCTAGTTCCTAAAGGTTTCCTCCCCGCTCCCACTACCATGACTCGAATTCGATCTTGCAAGTCTGGCTAGACCAGAGGAGGTACACTGGTACAGACAGGAACTGAAAATACAGGGAATCCAGGACGGATGAGCCCTATAGGACCAGTGGTGTGAGTGGCAAAACAGGGAGGGTAAAGGGAGAATGGGTAGGAAAGAGGGAACCGATTACATGGAACTGTGTGTGACCTCCTCCCTGGGGGACAGACAACCGAAAAGTGGATGAAGGGAGACGTCGGACAGGGCAAGATATGACAAAATACCCATTTATAAACTATCAAGGGCTCATGCGGGAGGGGGGAGCGGGGAGGGGGGGGGAAAATGAGGACCTAATGTCGGGGGTTTAAATGGAGAGAAAATGTTTTGAGAAATGATGTACAAATGCGCTTTACACAATTGATGTGTGTATGGATTGGGATAACAGTTGTATGAGCCCCTAATAAAATGTTAAAAAATAAATAAAATAAAATAAAATAAATGTTTCTTTTCCTAAAAAAAAAAAAGAAAGAGAGAGAGGGGAGAGAGAGAACTCTTAATCCTAAAACCAAAACCAAACCAAATGAACAAACATGTTAGTAGCAAAATAGTGACTTCAATTTGAAAAAGAAATGTATATTGAAATTAGAGCATTTTATTCATGAGTGAAAGCTTCAAATTGAGAGAAAAAAATTAGACATTTAGACCTGAAGGCAGAAAACTCATGTAGCAACCTTGGGAAAAAAAATTAAATAACACTCTGTGTAAGATTTAAGAAGGGATATTTAAATTTATGACCTAACAAATAAAATACACTTGCTTGCCTATTTTATAGAAAATAATTTCTAAAGATGCATTTTGTAATTAAAACATAATTGCAAATATCATCAATATGGTTTCGATCAAACATATACCGCAGATTCCGATGCACATAACTAATGCAGATACACATTGTAACATAATATTAAAGTGCAATTAAACACATCCTGAGCTTCTTATCTTACATGGAATGAATCAGTGTGTTGCATTAGACTTTAGACAGGAAAAAATGGCTTCAAAAACTTAATTAAAAAAATAGGTGTAACCCCTAGTAAAATACATTGGTTTCTGTATAAGGTATATATCACAAGAATTTCATTATATATATTTTTAGCCAAGGAAATGTATAGCAATATAACAAAAACAGAAGCAAGGGAGAATACAGAACAAGGACAACTAAAAGTAAAATTCAAGGATAATATAACAAAACCCAAGGTTTTCATGTTTATAAGGCTGCATTTTAATTGTCTGTCTCAATGAAGGTGGTTAAAGACACACCTAGTTACACATGCCTGCCAGTTATTCTGTCTTTTCATAGCTCAGCTTTGATTTTTTTAGGCATTTCTTTTATAATGTAACATTCCACTTCACTTTCTTCTGGGGATAATTTAGGTATCACCTATAGAAAAGAATTAGCCTATCTAGAGACATCTAGCCAGATGTCTCCTAAGAAATTGTTTACAGTGTACAAATAGATTAGGAGTGCAGAGGTTTAGAGGATTCTCAGGCATGGCCCAAACTTTGAGTGTTATTACTTAATTCTCTTATGTTGCTGTTGTTAGATACCATCAACTGCCAAGCTCACATGCAATAGAAACATACTTTCCACTTCTGCATCATCTTCACATTGTGCTGCATTTGAGCCCTTGTCAATCAATTGCCTTTATCCGCTTTCTCTGTTTAGCTGATTCTCTGCTTTACCAATCTTGATGTTCTTCCCCAGATATTGACTCCTTCTGATAACATTTCTGAAGCACATGAGATGAAGTGTTGCTATGCTCATTTTCAAGGGGCATTTTGGCTGATATTCTTCCCAAACTGGTGTATTTGTTTTTCTGATAATCGATTTGTGGCATGACATGCTTCCCTAACACTGTACTTTAGAGGCATTATTCCTCATTCTTCATTCAGAGCTTTCATATATAGACTAAAAAAATATGATAAAGAACTATGGCTTTGGTTCAGGTGCATTGTATTAGGCTGAATTCTATAGGGAAACACAATATAAAACCTTAATTATCATACACACCATAGTTCTCAAACTGGGAAGAAACATCGCAAACATTCATTTATGAACAGAACGTGAAAGGTACAAAATATGAATCTGGGATACTGGAAGTCACAAAAAAATCAAGTGGAATGTATAAAGATCAATATTCTAGGTATTAGTGAGCTGAAAAGGACTGATATTGGCCATTTTGAATCAGATTAGAATGTGGCTACTATGTGTTGGGAATGACAAATTAAAGTCGAATAGTGTCACATTCAATGTGCAAGGGATTATTTCAAGATCAATCTTGAAGTAAAATGCTGTCATGTATATGTCTACGAGGAAGTCCAGTTAATACAACTATTATTCAAATTATATACCAACTATTAAAGCTAGAGATGAAGAATTTGAAGAATTCCACAACTTCTTCAGGTTGAAATTGATCAAACATACAGTCAAAATGCATTGATAATTGTTGCAATTGGAAATTGAGAGTTGGGAACAAATAAGAAGGGCCAGTACTTGGAAAGAACAGCCATGGTGATAGAATCGATGCTGAGAATCACATGGTAGAAATTTGCCCCTGAACATAGAGCAGCTAAAGCAAATGGAAGAAATGACATAAAAGAGCTGAAGAGAAAATCTCAATAGGAAGCTCGGGAAGAAACAGTAAATATTATAGCAAAGTGTGCAAATACCGGTGTTAGAAATGAAGAATACATTCAGTATATTTCAGTCTCAAAGAACTGAAAAAAAGTCAAGCCTGGAGTTACAATATCAAAGGATTCTATTATCAAAAGTTTTAATGATTCAGAAAACACCAAAAGAAGATGGAAGAAATATAACAGTCACTATACCCAAAATAACTTTGTGGTAGTTATACAATCTGTTATCAATTTGAGGGGATTAGGAGTGAAGGGGTGGAGTGTAGGCTGTCAATTAGGTCATAGCCAATGAGGCCTCTGTGTGGGTATGGCCTTCTCCTGAGGATCCTGAGAATTCATTGCATGTGTTTCGTGAGTCTGAAGAGGACTTTATAGATTGGTATAGGACATATGGGCTAATATCAGACTTATGGACTTGATCTGGACTGGGCTGGGGTGCTTTCTCAATATTCAATTGCTCTCATATTTAAACAACTCTTTCTTATACACATATGCGTGTCTATGAATTTGTTTCTCTAGTCTATCTAGACTGACACACTGTTCAAAATTCAAATATTTCAAGAGATAACATGAGATTAAGTAACAATGCTATTGAAGAAGCAGGTACAGGATGCATAGAAGGCATTAGCAAACAGGACACCAGGAATTGACACAATATCAATGGAAAGCTTTCAATAAGCAGATGAGACACTGGAAGCACTCACTCATCTGTATCAAGAAATTGGGAGACAGCTACATGGTCATTTGACTGAACTGAGACTATATCTGTGCCCATTCCAAAGAAATATGGCCCCCAAATAAGAAACAATACCTTACTATCGAATGCATTTAAAATTTTACTGAAGATTATTCACAATGTTTGTACAAGTATATTGATAGGGAGCTGTAAGAAATTCGAACTGTATTTCTGAGAGTACATGACATGGGCGATATCATTGCTGATGTCAGATGGATCTTGGCTACTAGCAAAGAACACCATAAAGATGTCTACTTGTGTTTTATTTACTACAAAAAGGCATTCAATTGAAAAGATTATACCAAACTGTGGATAATATTTGAAAGATTGTGAATTCCAGAACATTTCATTATATTTTCAAAACTTTACATTGATAAATAAGTAATCATAAGAACAGTAAAAGGGACTATTGCCTGGTTTAAAATCAGGGAAAAAATGTGTGTCTGAGTTGTGTATTATCACCATATTTATTCAATCTGTGTGCTGAGAAAATAATCCAAATACTTCTTTTCACTGCCATTGAGTTGATTCTGGCTCATAAGAAGCCTATGGGACAGGGTAAAACTGCCTCTTGAGTTTCTGAGACTATAGCTCTTGATAGGAGTAGAAAGTCTTGTCTTTCTCCCATAGAGAGGTTGGTGGCTTCGAACTGCTGACCTTGCTTTTTGTGACCCAACACATAAATACTGTGCCCCCAGGGCTCTTAAATAAACCAGATAGCTGCATTACATGAAGAATAATGACACTACGATTGGAGTAAAGCTCTGGTACACAGATAACACAGCCTTTATCTATCTATCTATTTATTTATTTGTTTGTTTATTTGTTTGTTTATTTATTTATTTTTGATGAAAGAGAGAACACTGGCTGCTGAAGAGCAAAGACTGTCATATTCAATAAGAATACAAATTAAATATAAAAACTCTGTACAACTGTATGAATAAACAATATCATGATAAAGGGAAAAATAAAAGTTGTCAGGTTTTTATTTTGTTTTTATCCATAGTCAATATTCATGAAAGCAGCAATCTAGAAATCAAAGGATGCGTGCATTCATCCAATCTGCTACACAGAACTCTTATAAAGCGTTGAAGAACAAGGAGGCGAAGGGGTGCCTGGCTCGAGCTATAGCATTTTCAAGCACTTCGAATGAACATGAAAGTTGTACAATGAATAAGGA